TTGCATAATGTGTCAGCATGACTCGCTTGGCCGAGCTCACATGTATTTAAATTCGGGCTTGGGCGTTCGAAAATCTGTTTTGGTACTTTGTTGACAATAACACGCGCAACGCGTGCACGTAGTCCAGATAAAATTCAAGTGTGTAAAACGGAATTTGACCTCGCTCTCACACCCAGTGCGAGCGATGTATTTGAACATAGTTTGTGTGGGTATATTTATTCTACAAGTATTATTGATGACTGTGTCAGAGTGACTGTATCATTGAAAAATGCGTTTCAGACAAAAAACAAACACGTTTTTTTCCGAATGAATCCTCAGTTTCACACATATTGTTTTCTTGTGAACGACTTAAAAGTGTCTCTGGCCACATGGAGTTGTCGGTTTTACCCAGTCCAATTCCAATCCACTGGCATCATGCCATTTGCTCTCAGTCGTTTTCTGTGGTGTTAGGTCTGTACAAAATACCCAGTCTAATTCTAGACTGTGTCCATTGAACTGGTTGTACTCGGGGCCCTGAAAAGGGCCGGTTGCATTTAATGCAATGCTTTCCGAGCAAGGTTGGTGTATCAAATCATTTGAATACATAATAATAATTGCAGAAAATAAATCACTGTAAATTTGTGGAGAAAGAATTACAACACACAGTGTCAAATTGAACCGGTCAACTAAATTATTCAACATTGCCCCTGGCCTTTATAATAAGTTGCTGTGCGTTGCCATGGTGACCATCAAAACATTTGCCAAATTCCGTCCGATCCATTGTAAGCTGATATTCAAGTCTCAGGTGTAAAATCGAAAACAAAGGGTTTGCGTGTTTATAAAAAAATAAATACATGTATTATATGCAAAACACGCATTTACTACTTTGTATCAAATTGGATGTCGTCAAATATTTAGCCCAATCACTGAATACAAAAACATCCAAGCACACATGCACTGGTGCCAGATGAAGTGAAAAAATGAAAACAAAATTACGTCTGCACTGTGCATTTGTAACAATAACCAAAATCATTGGGTTACATGCCAAAACTACCGACTCAGGATTCATTATACACAAATATAGCCACTTTTATGGAACTGTTATTTTTGTAATCTACTTTGTTGGCTCAGTTGATTTGAGTGCACTGACCCCCATTTAAAAAAAAATATTGTATAAAATAAAGACACAGTTCCGTCTGTAGTCATATCCATCATTTGATTGTTCCAAAGTTGCGTTGACAAAGACGGAAGGCCTTGGTGAAGCTCTCATTCGCACCATGGACGTACTGAGAGCTCCATGGTCTCACAAAAATCACAATCGCAACTTGAATGTAAATATTATGCAATAATAATGGTAAAGTTTAATCTCTGACAAATACAAAGACGCAACAAATTGAACTGGTGGTGTATTTGAACTCGAAAGCTACTGCATAGCAAACATGAACAAAATGATTTATAAACAGACTATAACTACAAACGAAACAAATTCTACTCAAATTAATTCAACAGTTTTGCTTTCTCTGGCGATCCTGTGCATAAAACTGAAATTCAAACAGGTCGGAATTTTACCGGTAAACCGGAAAATCAATGCATAAATTAACTTGTCAGAGGTGTGAATTGCCTCCTGCCAGTAGGGCGACGGCCTTGCCGGTACGGCGAATGACCTTCGGGTACGGTAAAGAACCTGCCTGAACGGTGAAGAACTGGCCGGTACGGTAAAAAAACGCACGCCACGGGAGACTCACAGGAAACCGGCTTGGTGGTAATGATCAGTTCCCTTAGAACTATCAGTATTACTATTTTGTTTGTAAGGGTATGAGTCTTGCAATACTGCTGGTTGGATTGCTTTTTTAGCTCCGCTGTCGACTTTGTCGAGCGGAGCTTATCATACGAGTGAATGTCCGTCGTCCATGTCAATGTTTTACTTTTTCGACTTCTTCTTGAAAACTACAAGCCTAATGCTTTGATACTTGGTGTATATATACCTTGGGTTAATCTCTCTTAGATTTGTTCATTTCATGATATCTTCAATTCTCTAATTTTGGTGAATATTTTTGTCATTTTTGGTAAAAAGTGATATTTTCGACTTCTTGTTAAAAACCGCAAGTCCAATTGCTTTGATACTTACATATATAGGTACTACATGTGGATCTCTCTGATTTGTTCATTTTGTAATGATATCACCAATTATCTAATTTTGATGATTATTGTCATTTTTAGTAAAAGTGATATTTTCGACTTCTTGTTGACTTCTTACAAATTTGTTCATTTCATGGTGATATCTTCAATTATCTAATTTTGATGATTAGTTTGTCATTTTTGGTGAAACGTGATATTTTTTAATTCTTGTTAAAAACAGCAAGTCCCATTGCTCTGTTACTTACATATTGTTCATTTTCTAATGATACCTTCTGTTCTTTAATTGAAATGTGCATTGCTAGCAGCGGAGCTATCTTTATATTCGTAGAGGCTTTCAACAGTCCTGTGTTAACAAATCTGAACACCTGATTACATTTCTCATGACTGACTAGATCATATTTTCTCACGGTTTTGCAGACCGAATGTAATGGTTGGATACAACATGCCAGCTGGTTATGGTGCACAGGCTGGGCAGCCTACATTAACACAACAAAGTTATGCAGCTGGTCAGCAACAGCCGACAATGAATCAAGTCCTGCCGAGCAACCCTGGCGGCCTTCTGCCCACTCCTGCATCTCAACCAAGCTACATGCAGCCACAAGGGTACCAGGCCCAGTAAAGGAGTCTTCAGAAAACATGTGACGTTGCCATGGGAATATCATCATCATCGTTGTCATAGAATAGAGACTGAAGGTTTTGTGTACCAAGGACTGCATGTTTTCTTCCCAGGACACAAACACACCTAATTGTTACAACGTGTCAAGATGATGGACGATATACCAGTGGTAACACCACTAACTGTTGTACATAATGTCACACGAATGTATAATTTGAGTCAAATTCAAATAAATTTTCCTGTGATAGAAATGTTCAAGCAAGGCGTTCTACAGAATGAACATTGGCTTGAAAGCATTGTTCATTAGCCAGGGTCTGTAATCTAGGCTGCAAATTACAATGAATTAATTTTATTCATCTGCGGCAAGGTCTCTGATTGACAGCTGTATTTTAGTTGGACACTTTTACTGGCTAATCATTTCATTGTCCATCCATATTATCATGCTTTCTTTTGTAGACTAGAGAACTGGCAGTATCCCGGTGATATTGTTGCCTTCATCTGCTGTATAGCATTTCCTAAGTTAGGCAAGAATTTTTGAATTAAAAAAAAAAAAAAATTAATAATTATATGTAGTAAGTTTTGAAGAAAAGTATGAAAGAAAAAAAACAAGACACGTCCAAATCAGTTTACTATTTTGTCGGAACCATAAAAGTATTTTTCTGATAACCTTGTCAAAAATGGTGTCAAACAGAGGCCTTGCTGCAGTACCACAGATTCATTTGTGTAAAAAGATTTTTAAAATGGCTGGTATCAGCCAAACTGTGTAAAGATCTATAGTAACTAGTAACCCCTACCCTCAGTAGTATAGTTTACAAAGGTATAAGAAAAAAAATTGTTGGTGCCCTTGCGTGAAAGATAGTAGTTAGAGCAGTGCGTGTGTGTGTGTGTGTGTGTTTTGCTCGTATAGCAGCATTGTGACAAGAATACAGTGTGTATAAGCTGTCAGAGGCAGGCTGACATTACTAGACATAGGTATATATGTGGTAGTAGTCCAAAGTACAGTGTTGTGCCAGCTTCACTTTTTTGTTTGTCAGTTTCGAAACCAGCAAAAGAAAGACTTAGAAATTCACAAAACAGTAGTTGCTTATTGACAGACCGTGTCTGAGTCTGAATGGTAAAGTTCCTTTTTAAAACAGTGTTTATACAAAATGATCACACCCCCTCCCCTATTCATATTGTTAATGTAAATGTTGGTACTCTCTGCTTGTGCATTCACAGCTTGATTCAGCTGTCTTCAATATCTTTTATGCCACCAATATTATGGGATAGATTGAGATTTTTCAGAAACTGACTGCTGGTTTTTTTGTTCATGGTGTTGACGGGGAAATCAAGTTGTATTTTTTTTATTTTAAATAAACTCTGTGTAGCACATATTCTCAGATCTCAGGCAAATTCTCTATTTTCTATTTTCATTGGATTTCAGATAAAACGAATGGAACGCTTCAATATTTTGTCTCCACCAGCTTTTTGACCCTTGTGTTGCCCGCAGTTTATATAAACAAGAACAAAACTTCTCTTTTTTGAAAAGAAATAATTTGTCCGTAATTTGTGTATACTTCCTAATATATATTTAGATACAATAAAAGATGCATCAAAATTCCAGATTGTGTACAGGCATCGTATGAAGGTTTCTTCTTTTCCTAGATACAAGTCCGTTTTATAGAGAAAACTTTTAAAAAAGGCAGCTGTTTTCATAATTTAAATTTTTGTTTTCGTAAGTTATGCATACGATTTGATGGTAACTCAAGGGTTTATTAGAGTTATGGTGGAAGATGGTTCGGGTACTTTATGCTTTATGGGTACATACTTTTTAGATGCTGTGTAAAAATAAACTTGATTTTGGCATTTTGATGGAGTTTGGTTTTTAAAATCAAGAAAGACAATGTTTTCAACTTGTGCTACTTTTTGAGGTAGAATCTTCTAAAATTTGTTTAGATTTTGATAAGAGTGTCACCTTTGATATTACCTGGTAGGAGAAAATGATTTGTAGCATTATGCTCTGGATCATCTGCATTCTTATCTCCTAGTAACTGCATCAATTTTGTATTTAAAAAAAGAGAGGGCAATATTTTAGTTTCTATAAAGTCCTTTCATTTGTTTCTGGTCGAAGTAGTGCTCAGTGTGTTGTATTATTATTGTTTTTGCTTTGTATTTATGTCAAAAGAGGTACTTTTAAAGTACTGATTGTTGTCAGAATCTTGTATAAAAAAATAATATCAGTCTGAATTGATGTATTTGTAATTTGTACATAACTGAGAAAAAATCTTTTGATACACACAATATACCTGTGACCTATGACTTCTGTGTGCTTTACATGTGATCACATGACCCCCCCCCCCCCCCATAGTACATGGGCAGTTCATACCTGTGAAGATCCTGGTGTAAAGACAGTGCTGGCCTAAAATTTTAAAAAGATTAAAAAAAATGTGTTTTCTTTTTGAGAAAGAGAGAGAGGAAAAACAAATAAGTGCTTAAATTTAGTATATGGGCAATCTTAATCCCAATGAATGTCTTGTTTTTAAGGGTATAGTCGTAGAATGTAACCATAGACACAAAATATGCAGTTAAACTTACTGGGGTAGCAGAATATCTAGTCTGGTAAAAATATAAATTATGATTGGATTTAAAGATTGGGGGAAAAAGTTGTAGTTAGCTAGATAAAAACTGTAATCTTTTAGACTGTAGTATTGTTGAGTTTGTAGTTTATTGTATCAGACTGTCAAAACCAGTTGCCATGGTAACGAAGCTCCTAAGAAAAGCGTTGTAATTCATTTGACATCTGGTTTTGCAGATGAACAGAAAAAAGCAAATAAAAATATAATTTGTAAATTTCTTCATGTTTCTTTATTTTCTCTACACACTCCAACCCTACTTTCCAATGTTACTAAGGAGATTTGAACCGAATTAAAGATTGTATGTCATGTTCTTCCTATTTTCATTATGTGGCTTCATACCAGAACATGGCTTCAGAATAAAAAAAATAGGGGTCACTGGGTGGTTTTTTGACTCCCATGTGCGAAGCACATAATGGGAGACAGAGTCTGCAGTTAGTGTGTGTGTGTGTATGTGTGTCCGTCCGTGTCTGTATGTGTGTTCGTCCGTCTGTTCCCACTGCTATCTCGAGAACCATACATCGTTTTTTGATGAAACTTTGTGCATAGGTGCTCTTGGCCACTGCGCATATTTGATTAGGTTTTGGTAAAAACCATGCATATTAATGACCTAATTTGCATGATAATTACAAACTACAATTCTTATTGCTTTGATCCTTGGTGTATATGTACCTATGGCAAACCTTTCTTAGATTTGTTCATTTCGTGATATCTTCAATTCTCTAATTTTGAAAACTGCAAGTCAATTGCTGTGATATTATACATGTAGGTACCTCAGACCTCTCTCGGATTTTTTTCATTTTCTAATGATTTCTTTAATTTAACAGCGGAGCTCTCAGCCGAGAGGCTGCTTGTTTTTTTCTCTCTTCCTCTATTCCGTATACAAGTCTGAAATAGACAATGGCCAAAATTTGCATCCTTACCCTGGTTTCTATGGTGACATTTTGCTCAGTGATATGCAATTAAAAAAAAAATGTAAATTATTGATATGAAAATGTTTCAAAACAAATTGACATATGATTTTGTGCGTTTCCACGGTAATCTCCCTTATGAATTGCATGCATGTGCAATAACATGCTCAGTAAATTTGAGTCGTCATAGTGGAGGCCAACTGAATTAAGTGGGATAGTCACTGCTAGTTTCCCATGGTTAGATAAAATGCTATAATTTGTATTGTATCTTTGTCCACAGCAATCTCTGTGATGCTACTGTTGCAATAGCTTGTGAAGGTATTGTTCTAGAGATTGAATGCATGACTAGAGATTTATTGGACTCTTGTGACTATTTACAAATAACCGTGGATGAGACCTCATTAAAAAAAACACCACATCTATAACACTTGCAGATATATTTCTTTAAGCGTTGCTTCATTGAAGACATTGAGATCACGATTTGATCAACATATTTAATAACCATATATGGTCATGTGACCTCAGTGCTTTATGATCTGGTCAACTTATTTAATAACCATATATGGTCATGTGACAATGCAAAACTCATCTACTATGTACAGATGAAAAGATTTTAACTGACCTGGCCCTAATATTGGTAACTAAGCTGAGAATATTGCATGCGATAATTAACATACATGATTTGCGAGTGGTGGCATATTTTAATAAAAATAATAAAATAATATTTTAATATAAAAGATTGACGATGAAAAACGCCTACACGATCAGTAAAACATCTTGTATGTAAACGTAGAGAGCGGTGTAGCGAATTGTATATATTAACAATATCGTGAATACGAGCAGATTGCAAATAATCACTTTATTCTTCTGAAATATAAAACTAATAAATCCAAAATACAACAAAAAATCCTGTGTTATCTCATGAGAGGATACAGGTGTTTCAGTCAGTTTGATGCGGAGATGGCAATATGTTTGCATTTCTAACTGTATTCAATTCCTACACTAGTTGTCTATTAAAGTCTGGCATACAACAATACTTCACATGTTTCATAAGATCTCTTTATGATGGATCACCTGAGGTAATTGTAGCAAAGTTGAGGGCGTGCACGACTGCAAGGTAATAAACAAGAGCATTTTTTTCCTTACAATCATTGGTGGCGCAATCACAATCACATTTGCAATCACAATCACAGTGCATGTATTGTTAAATCATTCCTTGATATGCATCTGCAATTAATAACTGTTTTAGAACCAGACCTTACAGAATACAGGAACAAGCAACTCTGGCAATCACCAAATGGAATCTTTCTCTTGTGCCACATATCGGTACTCTTATAACACAAGCATTTAAGTACATAGAGCAATTTTTGACCGTTACTGTAACATTTTGCTCAGTAATTATGTATGCAGTTTTTGATAACATAATATGACAGAACCCCACACCCTCCCCGT